TTATAACGCAAAAGTAAAAATTATTTATGCGTTTTAAATAAGAAGCAGAATTTTAAGAGTTACTTCTGCGCGAAAAAAATAAAAGGCACAAAAAATTATTATATTTGAGAAATATAATATAAAGCAAATTTAATTATTTTTAGAGTTTTATTTTAAAATGCGAATAATAATAGTAAAAAGGTGATTTTTATTTTTTTTCTATAACTGTTACGGTCCCTGCTATGAGCTGCTATCATCGTATCAAAACGACAAATACTTTAGTGTGAAATACGAAGATGCCCATTCATCACTAAAAACGATAAACGCAGGCGTCCCACAGCGAAGCATTCTTGGGAACATACTATATTTCCTGTATTCATATGACTTACCCTCTGCAAACCAACTGGTACTGCGGTTCTAGCAATCGAAAATAATATAGAAGACGCAACGGCTAATATATAACACACAGTCAACCAAATTGCTTTATGGGCAAAAAAAAATGGCAAATCAAGCTAAACAAGGGAAAATTTGTACCTTCTGCTCAAAAAGTACTCGGATTTTGTAAATAAAACACACAAATTTAAATTTTATTCCAAATTTATTTTATCTCCTTCAAAATATACTCCTTCTGAAGCGATACACATATGTCAACGCTTAACCCAATCTTCCATACACTTTTACTGATTCAATCGACTCAAAACGCCTACGACGAATGGGCAATTTGAATTTCGGGAACAGGAAAAAGTCGCTAAATGCATTTGAGGTAATCTCACATTAACAGCTGCTGTAAACAAAGTAATTAACAGATGGCGCTCAAATTTGTACCATATGTCAGGAAAAGGTGTACCAACATAACAAAAAAAAATATTTGAAAAAGGTCTATTACTTAAGGAGTAGTTAACAAACAACAAAATCCGGATACTTTTTGAGCAGAGTCTTCTCATTGAGAAATTATACCTATATACCAATTCATATCGATGACACAAAAATTCCACACGCTAACGAAGCCAAATACCTAGGCGTTACGTTTGACGCTAAGCTGCGCTGGAAAGCGCATGTTAAGAAAAAACAAGTAGAGTGTGAAAACTAAACAAATTTTACCACCTCATCTGGTAAACTGGCAATCTATAACAAACGAATGGGCTATAATTAAATGCAGAAGCCAGTTTGGAGTTATGACATAGAATTATGGGGTTGTGCCAGCAAGAAACACATTGAAACTATCCAACGCTTTCAAAATAAAGTGTTACGTTAGATCGTAAATGCTCTCCACCGTGACCTTGGCATGCCAACCATCGAAGACGTGCCTAAAGTGCCCATTAGACAGCATTACACATCAAATTTTTCCGACAATTTTTTAAACACGCCTCAGAAAAAACAACAAATATACTAGAAAATAAAATCATACATGCATTTAAACGATGTTTTCGCTTTCATCCCTTTATGCGCGTATATATACATGAGAATTTTTTTTCGCACTTTTTTGAAAAATGTGAAATTTGTTTGTGTAATAGTAACATTTGAAATTTTAAGAAATACGTTAACGAGAATAAAAAAATTTTGATATTTCTTCAAACACGTTCGTGTTTTTGCGTATACAGTCTATTTTTGTCGGCATGCAAAATTTAATTTATTTTGAGAAATGGAAGCGTAATCATCGTTTAAATGCACGCATGATTTATAGTTAGCAGACGATGTTTTGCAACAATGAATAAATTGTATCTTTTATTTTCAATATTACATATTTGTATTTTCTACCTAGGTAAAATTTCATAATTTCCAAAACATATTATTACGAAGAATTAAAATATTAACAACCTTGGGCTACCAAAATTATATAAATAACCAAACATTAAATTACAAGGAATATTTTAATTTAAATATTATTTGTATTGTCTACCTACCAAAAATTTATTACTAAAACATATCGAGTAGCAAAATAGCTTCGCTTTCACCTTAAATATTCCAATCAAATTGCTTATTAGTACCTCTTATTTGATATTTGTACTAGGTGTAATATTAAAACGATTTTTGTCTATATTTTAAGAATCGTTAATAAAATATTAAAAAAAAAGAAATTGACTTTTGGAACAATGTAATTTTCTCACATGAAAGAAAATTTATTCTTTCGATCTAATGCCCGCCAAACGGTTTGGAGAAAACCAAACACCGAACTGCAAAAATAATAATTCTAATATGCCTGTAAAACATGTCCTTTTTATTGATGTGCATAACCGCTGCGGGTGTTGGCGAATTGAAATTCATTGACGGCATTATAGACAAAAAATATTATTAAGCCATCTTCAAGGGTAAATGCCAAAGAAAGTGCAGATGATAAATACACAAACACAAAGTAAGTGCTGACAATTTAAGTTTACCAGCGACGTTTAGCTTCCAATACAACAATTATCTGAAACATATGGCTTATTATGTGCGTATGTGGCTGGCGCATCATATAAAACATATATTACTACATCCACCCCAAATGCCAGATCTCAACCTCATGCAAGATTTGTGGGTAGATGCCTAAAGAGTGAGAGAAACGAACAACAAATGCATAACTGAAGGTATTGACCCAGAAAACAAAAAAAAATTGGTTTCTTTGATGCCAAGGCTACTAGAAGCTGTTATTAAACAAAAGGGATTGTCCTCTAAATATTAATTATTGCCGGTAATATTTTTTTTATGTTCTTATGTTAATACTTTTTGTGATTTTTTAATTTTAAAAAATTAAATTTAAGAAATATAATGAAATAAAATGAAATGGATAAACACAGTGTTAAAGTCCAATATGGTTGTTGTGCTTGCTATGTTCGTCACTATATATATTGTCGTTTAATTGCAGCTTCTGTGTTGGTTTTAAGCTATCAAACTTGCTCTTTGTTTTAGACTCGTGCAACTGGTAACAATTTATTCCTCAAACAAATACAAATAAATAAAAATTAAATAACATTCAAAAGAATTGAAGTAGTCATTTTTCAAATACATTAATACGCAAACTACGAGTTTACGTGCTCGGCAGTTTACAATCAGTCAACAAAAAATACTAAAATATATCATCCAGTGTGTTCAAGCGTGTTTGGAAGCGTGATATAATTTGCAATTCAATAAGAACATAACTATTTGCGATTTAATAAGAACGAACGCGTTCTTAACAGTTTGTTCTATCACATATTTGTATTAGTCCAATGTCGAATAAAATACAATACAACACGCATGGTCTTATTTTAAAACATAATTAAAACAATTAATTTACATGTAAATGTCAATTAACTGTTGTGTATTGAACAACGATCATGCGTTAATTTTAAGTAAGCATTTTCTTTTCTTTGATTTCTTTTGTTGATATGTCCCTTCAATAACGCGATATCCGTATAACTCGTTTTCATATTACGCGATTTCAATTTCCCGTATAACACGGGCAATCCTCCATATAACGCGGGAATTTATACAGTTCATAATTAGCAAAGAAGATAAAGACAAGAAACTGAGAGTTACTCGAAAAATTGTGTACAGTTTTCTGGATTTTGCAAATATTATTCAAAATTTTGTGTAATGAGGTAAAAATATCACGCAGTACAAAAACAAAAAGCCTAATGCTACATAATAGCGCGTGAATATTTTCCCCACCTGGTCTTGCTATTTTGCCCACCCGGTCTCTACTCACCACGATATTTGCTAAAGTAAGAGCACTTTCTGAGAAATTTCATTGCCTGTTTTGGTTTTTTGAAAGAACAATAAGGCGGAATTTGTTTTTAAAAACAAAAGCATTAAAAAAAGGTGATTATTTCAGAAAAATATACATAATTTGTATATTTTTCTGAAATAATATGAAATAAATATTTAATAAAAGTTTATTTACAGATGAAACGAAAATGCATACGTGGATGCTTAAATTCCAATCATCTATACATTTTTTCAAAAGCTTATCGAAAGTAAATTATCTTTAAAAATTAATTGTTGTAAAAAAAAGTGAATAAATAAATGTGCCTAAATAGTGTATATAATAAACTACCAATTAAGTTGTGACTAATTATATGACTAATTATATATATATATTTACATATGTCAGCAATAATTAGACCACTACAGATTTAAGTTTACCTATTCCTGATTTATTTAACGCATTTAAAATTTATATTTAAATTGAATTAAAACTGATATAAAAAATCATGCTTATATTTACTCATAATCGTATTAATATAAACAATGGATTTTCCAAGAACAATAATTTATACTATTTCTTCTAATTAGAAGAAATGGCTACGTGATAATATGCAACCACAAATGTAATAAACATTTAGGTTTCAAGCCACACTGTTTTTAATATTTAACAATTCTGGTATGGTGAAAAAGTGGGAAAGTTTTTTTGCGATATTACATAAATAGAGGTACAGTTATTCAAAATTTCCTGTTTCTTTTTTTATCTTCTTTGATAATTAGCTTCGCGTAACTTTGCACGTGTGTATACGGGGTATACGGCAATACCCCTATAACGCCGACTACGATTACTGTACTTACAAATTGTCTGCGGTGTTATAATTTAATTTACTAAAAAAGGGCAACTGAACAACAAATAATTAAAAAATAAAAAAAATATCTAAATATGGTTTTACAATGTATTGTATTGTTCATTGTCAATACAAATACGAACAACACTGAAATTCAGTATTGTTCCCAAATACTACATTTCCTTACTCTGGGTGGTATTAAATTTTCAATTGTATTCTTTCAAAACTTAAATTTTAAATTTAACTCTGAATTTTACTGGAAATCAGAAAAGTTAATATTAGTTTCACCATATTGCTTTTAAATGTAATAACAGCAATTTTGCAATTTTTATTTCACATTTGGCTGTTTTTTCAAATATTTATGGCAATAATTTTTAAAAATTCAAACGTGGTGTAAATATTATAATTATCTACGAAAATAAAACTCTATAAAATTTATGAAATATATTATGGCACTAAATGCACTATTTAATTATAAGTAAACTAGTATTGGAATGTAATAATAATTACCATATCTCATTTGAAGCAGAATTTTCACGAACAAAATTAAGCACGATTTCTAATGGGTCACTCAGTTTAGGTATTTTTGATTTTGATTGTACCATATCATCTTCTATTATGTTCCACTGCAACTATATAGCATGTATCAAAATGGTGAATTAGTCAGTTGAAATATTCTACTCACCAAATAAATTATTAATGATGCTACATTTATAAAACTTTGTGCACATACATCCGAATCAATTTGATCTTGTTGTAATCTATTGGCTTTTATTTCCATATCGACTATAGACATTAATTTTTTCAATGTTTTTGACCAATTTTCATTAAGTGTAATTGGAAAAGTACTGTTATCACCGTTACATATGTTAGGATATAAATATTTTAAAAATTTGTATACGGACTTAAAGAAGAGTTCCTATTGAAGCGAAAGCAATATTAAACTACATATTTTCAATAAGTCGAAAACCTATTTTTAAAAACATAGTACCTTTGCTTCACTTTTCATTAAAGTAAAATAATATCCACACAAAACCGGTATAAGTTTTTGTAAATCCGTTCCAATAGTAAAATGATAATCTATTGAAAGCTAAATAAAAAATAATTTGTTATTTATATAACGTATAAAGTTAGCATATTACATTTATAACAAATATATAAAAAAGCCTTAAAACATCAAACTTTTTACGATCATCAGATGCTTTATGTGCATATACATATATTTCCGGCAGATATCCGATAAGGTCAAAATTTAAGACAACATTTTGAGTGCCGATTTCAATAGTTTTTATTATTGTTTGTAAGATCGCAAAACGAAGTACCTCATTTTCGACATTAACTTCGAACAAATATGATAAAATACCTTTAAATAAAGAATAAAATATTATTAAAAATTAATTGAAACATTACTAATGAGGTTAACGTACGACTGAATTCGTTTAATTTAATGTCCTGCACATACATAAGCGATTTGTAAAGGCCTCGATCCAAAAGATTTAAAAATAATGCACCGAAATGTTTAATGGTGCTGTGATTTTCGAAACCTTGTATAAAGGCGGTAAATATTGCAGATTTTGTCAAGAAATTTTCTAAAAATGTAATCGTTACAAACTGTCAACACATAAAGATCACTCACCTTCTACATTGTAGTCCAGTATTTTGTTAACAACACTTCTATAGAAATAATTTTTGTTTTGAAGGTTTTGAGTGCCTTTCGTAAGTCGTATATCATCTAGACAAACTGAATGCTGTATACAAATATGTTACTATAATATAAATAATAAAAAAAAATAAAATAAACCTTAATAGTTGCGTTAATGGCACTTTCAAACATAACTTTCCAACATATATCTTTACGGTGGTAATCATTTTTCAATAGCAGGAAAACATCTTCTTTATGGCTTACTAATAATCCATTTAAACGCTCAATAGCTTTGTTTCTAACTGCTACTTTATCTGAATTGCATTCTGCACAAACTGCACTTAAATCATAAACTCCCGCCATTGCAACTGGCACTTACATTATGTTTAACTGACCAATACAATCAATTGCCCTGCAACATATGTTTCAAAATAGAACATTAAAAATATTCTTTGATAGAACAGAAACAAGGTTCATCACATTCTCTTAATTCCAGTATAAAATAATATTCATGAATGAATGAACATTCTTACGATCCATATTCTGTCAGTGGGTACACAAATTTCGTTTTTAAAGGTTTTTATTATTAAAATAAAAAAAATTCTATGAAAATACTGCCCAAAAAATTATTAAAAAGCAAAAAAACAACCAATTCTAATAACAATTTAATAAAATTATTAAATTTTTAACGTTTGTGAAATTTAGTGTTTGCAAGTTCATCAAAAACATAAATTTTTGGTTTAATTTTCAACGTGAACACGTAACCGAAATGAATTACGTAGTAGTAAATATTATTAGTAGAATATAACCATATGAAATATGGTTATATGAAATATTATTGATCCACTTCAACCCATTAAGTACCAAGCAAGTTTAAACTTGGGATTTGATGGTGGAATTTTCAGAAAGATCTTATATTACATTAAAAATATTTCCTGCAAAATTAAATTTTTTTTTTTTGAAAAGTAGTTTTCCGGAAAAGTGCCGTGTGGTCAACCACACGCTGGGACCCACAGCACATTTTTCTCTCTTCGATAGTGCATACATTTTTATATATGTTTTGTAAAGGTTGAAATTGCTACTAACTAATTTCAACCATACATATACTTTTGTACAAATCTGACGTCATTCCGTCAGCAGAAAACGCAACACCAACACCGTTGCGGACAACACCAGAAACCAAATTACCCTTAACAAAGCTAAACGTACATCCTAGAAAGGATAAAATTTATTTAAATATTTATTAAGATCATAATACAACAACATTACTTGCATTCCATGCGTCAATGAGCCGCGGGCATGACTGGTAAACAAAGCTGAAGAAAATAAAAAAATAATAAAACAACAAAACTAAAACAGAACTTGAAACCTTATTTATTCACTATTTATATATACAATATATTTTATTTTTGTTTGTTTTATTAATTTTTGTTTTATCTTTTTTTTTATTTATTTGTTGATAAATAAATATAAATATTAAAAGCAAAAACACCAGCACTATATAAACAAAATACGCTTGTAAACAAGACAAGCTTGAAAGCTTTGGTTGAACTAAATACAAAGCACGACGAATTCAAGAACGCACGAAGACAAAAAGCATAGAAATTACACCCAAGCGAACAATAGCAACAAAAGACAACAAGTATCAAAAATACCAACGGCAAATGTACCGATGCACTACAAGAAAAGCTTCGGTCGTTTGAGTATAAATAAACGCGCATTGTACAAGCACGGCATCTTGTGTCTTGGAGATCAACGGATTAACAAGTTCACTGGTCAATTAGATCAAATCCTAGTTTACAGGCTAATTCAGTCTACAGTGGTCAGTTCGATCAAAGTAGGCAACTGGTCAATTCGATCAAATCCTAGTTTACAGGCTAATTCAGTCTACACTGGCCAGTTCGATCAAAGCAGGCAACTGGTCAATTCGATCAAATCCTAGTTTACAGGCTAATTCAGTCTACACTGGTCAGTTCGATCAAAGCAGGCAACTGGTCACTTCGATTAAATCCTAGTTTACAGGCTTAATCAGTCTACACTGGTCCATTCGATCATTTTTTTTTCTTTTTTTTGTTAATTATTCTTTCTTTTTATCTGGCTCATTCAGCCAACCTATAGGTTTTCGTAACACAGAGCATCCGTAAGAAGAGAAGGAACCCAGGAGAGAACGCGGTCCTGTCAGGAACCTTCTCAACATCGAAGTCAACTACATAAACTTGTACAACGATTCAACAAATTCACGACTGTATACTATTGTATACCTTAATTCACCCGGACGCCACAACGAAGAGCGTCAGAATTATAGAGAATTTATTTAACAAAATAATATTTTGAATACCTGTAACTATTGTTTTATATTGAAATAAATAAAGTAACTATTAAATTATTGTATAAAAGTACACTTTTCTTTATGGAACAGAATTCAGTCCCGCAAGTATAAATTTTATTGCAACGAACCTGGACAGCCGCTTTGCTACCTCAGCAAAACGAAACGATAGAAAACCGGTCGTTACAGTTTAGATTACAAATATGATATTTAGTTTGTATCATTGTAAGTATCATTGTAAGTTGTATAAAGTACACGTAAGTATAAAATTTAATGTTTTATGCTTTTCAAATAATATATTTGAATTATTACGTATGTATTATATTATGTAAAAAGAAATAAGATTACTTGCGTCAAAAATTGGTATTGCATTCTTTTATCATTATAGTACTATAGGACCCAACCCACTCAAAAGTGGGAGATCTTCAACAGTTTGTGAAGTTTCAATATCATCATTTCTATTTATGTAATTTATTGTATTAAAAACTTTTCTTGGCCTACTTACCTGACCTGTATGAATTATTTTTGGTCTACCAGGACAATGGTTTTTTTAAATTTCGAATATTAATTCTACATCGTGTTCTGATGGACAGCTAATTGACGTACTTGTAATCCGATGATGGTGGTTAGTTATCTCGATTCAATTCGTAGGCTTAACTCAATTCTTTCATGTTCATAATAATTGTGTTATAATCGACGTTATCTTCGATATATTCTGCCTTATTGAAGCTACCTTCTACGGACTTTTTATTATTATTAAAAGAGTAGAAGTGAAAATTGCCCAATAGCCGGTACTGCGGCCAGAAAGGACCTATTGTACCAGTTTCACTATTGACTAAACAAAGCCCCTTAAAGCTATGTGAATAAAATCCAGAACTAAATCTAGAGAAGAGTTCTTAATCTGTTCTGGTGACAGAAATTCTTTATGAAACAGGTTTCTTCTGTAAGTTATTAAAGCTGGACATTCACAAAGAATGTGCATGGTCGTTTTCTCATCTTCGAGGCATAATCTGCATTCCGAGTTAGCAGATAATTGTAGTTTATGAAGGTGATATTTCAGACCATAATGACCTGTAATGAAACCCGTTATCAACCTTAAAATACATTTTGAGAATTTAAAAATGTCTTTGTAGGAGTACGGTGTTATCAGTGCTTTGCTTTGTCTGAGTCCTGGAAAGTTTACCCAGTACGCTTATGATTTTCCATTTCCATAAAAATAAGTGATTTTCCATAAAAATAAGTGACAACAAAACCTGGAACTTGAGCATTGAAAGCTTGTGCAACCTTGGTTATTTGTGGATAAACACGATTAGTCACCGCTTCTAATTTGACAGGCACGAGTTCTAAGCCTGGCACTTGCAATCCAAACAAATTATATACGGACTATAAACTAATTAAATAAAATTCGATTATTTCCAAAGACCACTGATGAAGAGTACTTGGCAATACTCGAAACAGCGTTGTATGGTCAGCCAAACTTCAATAAAATTAAAATAAATTTTTGTGTTTGTCCTTTATTTCTTTCTTTGTTATTCAAAACCCCTCTAAATTTTAATAAAGCTTCTTTGTCACTATACAAAGAAAGTCTAGCTTTACAGCAACACGAATACTTTATTCAAAAATTTTCTATTTCCTTGATAATCTGTTTTGTACTGGCCCAGTTTATTCCACAAAAGGGTTGAGGGCCTATAAAAGCAGTTTTTGATGCAGTTCTGGCTAGCTCATCAGCTTTTTCATTTCCCAAAACTCCTCTGTGGCCCGGAACCCAGTAAAGGCTTACCTTATTCCGAGCTGCAAGTGATTGCAGAAGCTCGTAACACTCAAGGATCTGTTTTGATTTAAAAGTCCAAGAAGAAAGAGCTTTAAGAGCAGCCTGGCTATCAGAGTAAACAACGATTTTCGAGCCAGAAGATTTTTTGATTAAATTGGATCTTACGCATAAGTTGATTGCGTGGATTTCAGCTTGGAAGACACTCGGCCATGTGCCCATTACCTCCGAAATGCTGGTGTTGGGTCCATATACACCAGCGCCAGTGCCTTCATCCATCTTTGATCCATCTGTGTACCAAACCAAACTTTTGGGGTCAACCTGTATGCCTCCATTCTCCCACGTTGAACGTGATGGTAGGTGTACCTCAAATTTTTTGCCAAAAGGATGGAGTTCTGTTGTATAGTCTCCATCGCATTGAGGAATTTTATGTGCTCCAAATGTTTTTAATATTGTTGTATGACCATAGTCAAGACAACCCTTGTTCATGTGGAGTTTTAGTCGAAGCGCACTAAGCGCAGCCGTAGATTGAATGTGTATCTGCAGAGGTGTCAATCCAAGTATAGACTCAAGTGCTGCAGTTGGACTTGTCCTCATAGCACCAGTCATTAAGGGACACGCTAATATCTGGAGCTTCATGCAAACAGTAATAGATCCAGCCAGTGTGACCTTTTGCTACTAAACCAGGCAACCATATGTCATGATAGTACTACTGCCTGATATATCCAAAATATAATCTTTGGGTTTAGGCCCCAAGTTTTACTTATACAGGACCGTGTTGTCCATAAAGCCCTTAATGCTTTGTTATATTCTTTATTTAAGTGTGAATTAAAAGTGAGTTTACCATCTATGACAACACCTAGATACTTTGTTTCTCTGGAGAGAGAAATATTAGTGTTTCCTAAACGTACGGGACCTATGTCTAGTTTACGTTTGAGTGTGAAAGGCACAACAACAGTTTTAAGAAGTTAAAATGAATAAACCTTAAGGATTGTATATGAACAATCAAGTATTAGAACATTAAATATTAACACATATGGAAAACCGTAAAACCGCAATAATATTATGTATGTAAATTCCATTAAAATTTAAGACATTAAGTTTATATATTATAGACAATAAATGAATAAAATGAACAAAAATTACGTGTTTAATTTTATTATCAAGAGTACGAAAGTGTTTTGAACAATTTGGAAATACAACATTGTTTGCAATCAATTTTTGGTTTCCTCGAAATTGGATAAAGGTGAAAACACAACAATGTCATTGCCTATGCAAGCCGGCATTTAAACCAAACCAAGGAAAATTATTCAGCCACGGAAAAGGAATGCTTAGCAATAGTCTGGGCAATTCGCAAAATGCGACCATACCTCGAAAGATACAAATTCACAATTATCACTGATCACCTGGCACTCAAATGGTTAAACTCAATTAAGAACCCAACCGGACGTATTGC